TGGTTTGCACCACTGTTATTGCACTAAGTTATATTGTTTCTCAACCCTTCCCTTTTCTTGACAATAAAATGGAGGCTTCAACGCCTACCTTTCAGGGGTTGTTGCACAGATCGGAAATGATCTATGCAAACCCCTTGACAAAGAGTAATACTTGGTGATTATTATCATCAGGAGGACAAGCAAATATTTAGGGCAGCAATTCTCAGTTCCAGTCCTGCAACACTGCAGGGTATTGCAAATCAGCTCAAGGAGTGTTGTAACATTTCCAAAAGTCTCTCCAACTAAGATTATTGTAAATTTCCTTTACTTCCGGAAATAATTTCTCTAGAGGTCATTAGAAGTGGGGTTGTACTGATATCACTCTCAGCATATTACGAGAGAGGTGAAATTTTTATTATTCAACCTTTACCCCTTCTGTGATATCCTCTTTGCTACTCCAGTCCCAGGCTTTGGATCAGCCCGGGTATAAATCTCAGCTTAGTCACTCTCTATACATTAATTATGCATTCTGAACCCAAGTGTCCTCATCTCCAAAGTTGCAACAATCATGACCAATTCATAGGATTGTTTACAGTCCAATCATGTGCACAAAGTCCTCAGCAGACCATAACTAACTGCTCCCTGACTTAGCTCCTCATGATCATGCCTGATCTCTGGGGAAGCAATGAGTGAGAATTCCAAGAGCTGTTTCACAAAGATCTCCACGAGACAATGAAAGCCCAAGGCAACTCTGTTATAACCTACCTGCCAGAGGATGGCATATATTGGGTAAGAGGATTCTTCTACTCTTAGACATTCAGGATTAAAACAAACAAACAAAAAACATTTTTAAATTAGGGGAATCACACATAAAAATTCAGATCTCTGACTTTTCTTAAAGAATCACAAGATCTGGGCCGGGTGCGGTGGCTCACGCCTGTAATCCCAGCACTTTGGGAGGCCGAGGCGGGTGGATCACAAGGTCAGGAGATCGAGACCATGGTGAAACCCCGTCTCTACTAAAAATACAAAAAATTAGCCAGGCGCGGTTGTGGGCGCCTGTAGTCCCAGCTACTCGGGAGGCTGAGGCAGGAGAATGGCGTGAACCCGGGAGGCGGAGCTTGCAGTGAGCCGAGATCGCGCCACTGCATTCCAGCCTGGGCTGGGCGACAGAGCGAGACTCCGTCTCAAAAAAAAAAAAAAAAAAAAAAAAAAATCACAAGATCTGGCCAGGTGCAATGGCTCACACCTGTAATCCCAGAGGTAATCCCAAGGTAGGTGAATCACTTGAGACCAGGAGTTCAAGACCAGCCTGGCCAATATGGCAAAACTCTGTCTCTACTAAAAATACAAAAGTTAGCCAGGCATGGTGGTGCATGCCTGTAATCCCAGCTACTTGGGAGGCTGAGGTATGAGAATCATTTGAACTCGGGAGGTGGAGGCTGCAGTGAGCCAAGATCGTGCCACTGCACTCCAGCCTGACAGAACGAGACACCGTCTAAAAAAAAAAAAAAAAAAGAAGCAGAAGATCTGTCCCTGATTATAATTATCAGCCTTCTTTTGGACACAGATGTGCTCTTCGTTTGCCACACTCCCCACAACTCCCTATTATTGTACATCTAGCCTGCTTCACTCGTTGACCTGCTTGACACCTGTAAGAATTTGAATCTATGACCCCTGGCCAATAGGGTCAGGAAAGTAGTCATGATGGTGGTGATGACAGGGGCAAAGCTGGTGGGAAAAGAGGTTTGTGAGGTTTTCTTCAATGATTCAAAAAGCCTTTTGGCAATGATTTTATCTTTAACCTCTAAAAGACTGCACAGGTTAACTAAAGCACCAGATTTCTTTGCTTTTAGGTGAAATTCTGCCAACTGGGTAACTGTATTGTCATAAAAGATCAAAATGGCAAACAGATATCATTGATTAATGTTTTAAAAATTGGAAAAACAGATAATTCTTATTACTACTTTATTGTTTGTTTGTTTATTTATTTATTTATTTTTAGACGGAGATTCACTTTTGTCGCCCAGGCTAGAATGCAATGGCATGTTCTTGGCTCACTGCAACCTCCGCCTCTCAGGTTCAAGCGATTATCCGCCTCAGCCCCCCGAGTAGCCGGGATTACAGATGCCCACCAGTACACCCGGCTAATTATTTGTATTTTTAGTAAAGATGGAGTTTCACTATGTTGGCCAGGCTGGACTTGAACTCCTGACCTGAGGTGATCCACCCGCCTCAGTCTCCCAAAGTGCTAGGATTACAGGTGTGAGCCACCGTGCTCAGCCTTATTAATATTATTTTTGAGACGGCATCTCACTCTGTCGCTCAGACTGGAGTGCAGTGGTGTGATCTTGGCTCACTGTAACCTCCGCCTCCTGGATTTAAGCAATTCTCCTGCCTCAGCCTCCCTAGTAGCTGGGATTACAGGTGTGCCATGCCACACCTGGCTAATTTTTGTGTTTTTAGTAGAGACGGGGTTTCACCATGTTGACCAGGTTGGTCTTGAACTTCTGACCTCAAGTGATCTGCCCACCTCGGCCTCCCAAAGTGCTGGGATTACAGGCGTGAGCGACCGCTCCTGGACAGACAATTATTATTATTTAATAAATAAAGTTTGCTTCATAGATTAGTTCTTGGAAAAATGGGGCCCAAGAAAGAGAATGTGACAATAACAAGAGGTATCCTTATTAGTGGAAAGGTTGGGAAGGGAGCCACGGGCATTGTCACTTCTCTGCTGCTACTTTTAGTCCTATGGATCAAAACCAGAAGAATGAATGTTGGAATTTCAAGTATCTCATGGTAAGTGGGAAAGACATCTGGAAAAAGGCAGTGGAGTCCTCTTTTGAGTCCTGAAATTTCATGTCCTTCTCAGGCAGGCTCACTCATGATTTTAGTGTTAATAGTATACATAGTTTTTAATACAAGTTCTGTTTTTTCCATACTGCAAGGCAAAATGCAATGACCATTTACAATATTGCTGAGCTCTGTTAAAGCTAGTCAATGTTCCTTGCCTGTGCTAATGTACAAGGCCACTGTATTTTATAAGGGTGAGGAAACTCTTTACTTATGACCTGTAATTCTCAAGGGTTGTTATATGTCCTAGAATAAAGCTGATACAAAATTCTACTAGGTGGGGCAAAGGGATTACATTTTCAGTCTTTCTTGCCAACTCTTTCCAGCATTTAACTAAATTATGTAGGATCTTTTGAGAATTACAGACTTTTGAAGCTAACGTGTACTTTAAGGATAAGGATCTCCTAATCTAACCTCCTCATTTCCTAAATGTCCAAGAGTGTTTTCCCTACCCAAGTTAACAGAGCCAACACTAGAACTCTGGTCTCCTGATTCCAAGTCCAATTTGATATGTATGTTTTCTGTTTCCTTTTCCATTTTAAACTATCCCAACCATCATTGCCTGAGATTTGTTTTTTGCTTTACAGTCTCACGGCTTCTACTGAATCGTCTAAATGTTCAGATTTTTACATAATTCTATTTTATCCTTACAGCATTCTCCTAGGGTTTCCAGATTCTACTTTGAGAAATCTCGAGTGAGGAACGTGATCTGGAGGCTTCCCCACAAAACTCTGCTGGATCCTCCAAGAAGACAGAGAAATCTGTAACCCACAGTCTGTAGCGGTCTCTCTCATCCATTCCATACTGAAGTTTCCAAGGAAGCACAGAGAGACGAACAGGAGGATTATGTCTGTTCTTTTTAGAAACAAGTCTGTTCAGATTTCATACATGCTGCTAATTTCTTCTTTTTGCTTCTATGTCAAGAAGGCTTTTTACCACCTGTCTGACAGCAGATTTCTCTTGCACTGTGGCACATTTAGCTTCTGCAAAATTAGATGAAAACAGTTTTGTTTTGTTTTTCTAAGACAGAGGAGGAGCACAGAGGAGACATCAAAGATGATTCTGGCCAAGGCTGCCTCTCCTCACAAGCTCCGCCAGTTGTGTGGGAAAGAGAAGCATAAACTCTTATGGGGCAAATATGAAGAAAGAATGGAGGTGGGGAAAGTCAATGATAAATTATAAGAGAGCTGCGGTTTAAACAGGAGATGTATGAGAAAAGTACAGGCTGACTCATCAATAGTACAGATAGTGTGGCACAAATGACCATTTTCATTGCTGTTTGAACATTCATTGCCACATAGAGCTCACAAATGTTGTGACCCTGTCAACGACAATGAGATGAGAAAAACAAGAACATATGCTGAGTTTTTCATAATACTAAATTTATTCTATTTAAAGGAGCATCTTATATTTCAAGATTATAGTCTTCTTTCTTTTTTTTTTTTTTTTTTTTTTTGAGACAGAGTCTCACGCTGTTGCCCAGGCTGGAGTGCAGTGGCGCGATCTCGGCTCACTGCAAGCTCCGCCTCCCGGGTTCACGCCATTCTCCTGCCTCAGCCTCCTGAGTAGCTGGGACTACAGGCGCCCGCCACCGCGCCCGGCTAATTTTTTGTATTTTTAGTAGAGACCGGGTTTCACTGTGGTCTCGATCTCCTGACCTTGTGATCCGCCCGCCTCGGCCTCCCAAAGTGCTGGGATTACAGGCTTGAGCCACCGCGCCCGGCCTAGTCTTCTTTCTTTAGTCCTAAAACATTTCTTTTACGAAATGACAGTGAAGGTAGATAATAATTGATTTTTTGTTTGTTTGTTTTTGAGATAGAGTCTTGCTCTGGTGCCCAGGCTGGAGTGCAGTGGCGCCATCTCAGCTCACTACAACCTCCGCCTACCAGGTTCAAGTGATTCTCCTGCCTCAGCCTCGCAAGTAGCTGGGATTACAGGTGCACGCCACTACGCCCAGCTTTTTGTACTTTTAGTAGAGATGGTTTTCACTATGTTGGCCAGGCTAATCTTGAGTTCCTGGCTTGAAGTGATCTGCCTGCCTCAGCCTCCCCAAGTGCTGGGATTATAGGAGCCACCACACCTGACATAACTGGTATTTTTTCATGTGCTTCCTGGGCAACTGAAAAAATTGATTACTCTGTTGTTTCCTCCTTTTTTTTTTTTTTTTTGGTTTTGCACCAATTTGTGAGACCCAAGCATCTCCTACCTAGAAAAAAACACACTAAACAGTAAATTATTACCAACCTATTTGAAACAAATCTCATTAATATATACCTCAAGGAGAAGACTTAAAGAAATCTTACTTTTCATTCTTAATAGCTGTCTCCATAAAAATATTCCACAAGTGTATCAAATTAGCCCTAACAACTACTGTTAAGTGATTAATGAAACAGGAGTGACAGGAGTGAATTTAATAATAGCGATAAATACAGATGGGACTACATAACTTTGGAGGTCCTGATGCAAAACTCTCTCTGTATTCGATGGTATCTCAGCTTTCTCATCTGAAATGAATGAAGACATTAATTATAATGATGCTCATAGCAATAAGAAAAAAATTCAAAACAAAACCCATACTCTCTGACAACATGCCTTTGTTCTTATTACTTACTACCCACTCCACATATGCTAGAAGCACTAAACGAAGCTGCAAAGAGAAGGCAGTATGAGGATGAATGTGGTTCCTGGCCTCGTCGTAAAGCAGTATGGAGCAGTGGCTTCCCCCAGAGCATTTGCGTTGTGTGGCAATAAAATGCAGTTGCACAAACGTTAGGCAAACTCACTTAAGGAGAGAGCAGGCTTAGGACCGAAGGTGTTCTCTGTTCTAGGCAACTTTTCAACCTATCTTCCTCTAAAGTAGAGGCAGATTTTCCTCCACCTTCTATTCTTCTTTGAACTCCTTCCCCTTCCAGCACCTCCCATCTCTAGATTTCCAAACTCTAGGAGTTTGTCTAGAGTAATGCATATCACTGCTATTCATCTGCTTATTTAAAAAGCACTGGTCCCGGCCTAGAGTACTTACAGAGCTGTTTCCCTGTGAGGGTCTTTATCCTTCATGCAGAGCTAAAAGCAAACATGGCAATAAATTAGCCTGCTTTTTAAGGCCCATGGAGAAATATTTTGAATGCATTAAGATGGCTTGAGGACAGGGGCATGGAAATACAGCCACCTCTGTATTGGCTCAGGTGTTGTTTTGGGGGCCACACTAGTAGTTATTATTAAATGCAGAGAAGATGTAACTTTTAGTTAAGATACTTCCAGGATCTTAGATACTCGAGTATTTCTTTTTTTATAGAAAAAAAATGTGGCCGAGTGGGGTGGCTCACGCCTGTAATCCCAGCACTTTGGGAAGCCGAGGAGGGTGGATCATTTGAGGTTGGGAGTTCAAGACCAGCCTGGCCAACATGGTGAAACCCCGTCTCTACTGAAAATACAGAAAAAAAAAAAAAAAAAAAAAGCCAGGTATGGGTCGCGTGCCTGTAGTCCCAGTTACTCTGGAGGCTGAGTCAGGAGAATGGCGTGAACCCGGGAGGTGGAGCTTGCAGTGAGCTGAGATCGTGCCACTGCACTCCAGCCAGGGTGACAGAGCAAGACTCCGTCTCAAAAAAAAAAAAAAAAAAAAGCTTTGTGGCTGGGCATGGCAGCTCATACCTATAATCCCAGTGCTTTGGGAGGCTGAGGCAGGCAGATCACTTGAGCTCAGGAGTTCGAGACCAGCCTGGGCAACATGGCAAAACCCTGTCTCTACAAAAAATACAAAAATTAGCAGGGCATGGTGGTGCATGCCTGTGATCCCAACTAGTTGGGAGGCTGAGGTGGGAGGATCACTTGAGCCCAGGAGGTTGAGGCTACAGTGAGCTGTGATCGTGGCACTGCACTCCAGCCTGGGAGAGAGAGTAAAACTCTATCTCAAAAAGAAAGAAAGAGAGAAAGAGAGAAAGAGAGAAAGAGAGAGAGAGAGAGAGGAAGGAAGGAAGGAAGGAAGGAAGGAAGGAAGGAAGGAAGGAAGGAAGGAAGGAAACAACAACAAAAATATGCTTGGGATTGGAATAGGGAGCGGAGTGAATTGCTTCTTGAGAGACGTGGCTGCCCTGTTACTATGTGTTCCAAGGAGAATGCCCCTCGCTGAATGATGCACTCAGCCTAGGGCTTTCTGCCATATTTGCTCTTCTTTGGCATTGGCTTAACTGGCAGAGTCAAATGCATGGCATTAACCTATGCATGCACATATTCTGAATCATACCAGCCAATGAGGATAACTACTTTATAGTTCAAACCCCAGCCCACTACAGCCAGGGCATCTGGCTATAGTCCAGAGGTGAGCAGCCAGTGCCATCTTTTTCATGCAGATCTCTGAATCTAGAGCAGATGTTCCTCCTTATACTTATTTATCATACCACAGGTACCATAGCAACAATAAAGGGAAATTTAAAAGGAAGGAAAATCAGCCCCCAATTCCCTACCCCTGGCAACACAGCTATTTTCAATTCAGGCTTTGCCCATGTGCACTTCTCTTCTTTGTAAATCTGTACTCATAATAGACCATATAATTTTTATTCCCTTGAGCAACTATATTTTAAGATCTCATGGTAGAAAGACCAGATTTGACTTTGCCAAGAAGGGTTCCTAACTGAAGTCACTTATATTTCTAGCTTTCTGCCTTTATTCAGATGATCATTTTTTACTTAAATAGCTCAGAATACTTAGATACCTCCATTATTTTCTTTCTTCTAGCAACCAGTCCAAAGCACAATGTCAGAAAGATCACAACACACGCAGCAATAATGGGCTCTACTGGGACACTCACAGTTTTATCTGTTGGAAATGCAAACACAGGGAATAAGAATGAACATTTACATACTTCCAGTACATCCCAGCAATGGTGCCTTGAACTTTATGTATATCATCCCCTTAATTAAACCTTCTCAACAATCTCAAAAGATAGATATGATTGTCCTCATTTTACAGGTGAGGAACCAGGGGCTTCGAGGGGTTAGAATGCTTGTCCAAAGTCATAGAACTAGGCCGGGTGCAGTGGCTCATGCCTGGAATCCCAGAACTTTGGAAGGCCAAGGCAGGCAGATCACTTGAGGTCAGGAGTTCAAGACCAGGCTGGCCCACATGGTGAAACCCCATCTGTACAAAAAAAAAAAAAAAAAAAAAAATAGCTGGGCATGGTGGTGAGTGCCTGTATTCCCAGCTACGTGGGAGACTGAGGCAGGAGAATTGCTTGATCCTGGGAGACAGAGGTTGCAGTGAGCCAGGGTCGCACCACTGCATTCCAGTCTAAGTGACAGAGCAAAACTCTGTCTCTCCAAAAAAAAAAAAAAAAAAAAAAAGTCACAGAACTAGTAAATGGCAGAGGCAGGTTTTGAATCTGTTCCTTGGTGGATTAATAATTTATTGTAATATGAGTAACTCCCCTAAAACAAGTAGGCCATTTTGTGCCTCCTTCACCCACAGTTTTTGCCACACGCAGAGCAGAATTAGATTGAAGTCAACGGTTTTGCCTGGATTTTGAAAAGCCCAAAATATATTGGGAAGTATCCTGGGGTGGGTGAGGGAAGAGAGGGAGGAAGGCTTTGAGAGCAAGAAGAGAAAGGGTGGAGAGCTTTCTGGACTAAGAAGGAGAGAGAGGTCTGTGGGCCTCAAAAGCAGTGGGGAGCCTTGTACCTGTACTACGATGGTGCCCCAAGCAGGTGACAAGACACTATAGAAGGTAGGTGGCTGCATAGTGTCTCTAGGGAAGTAGGAATCTAAGCATTAGCCTTCCCAACCTTGGCAAAGGTTTCCGCATCTCTCTAAATGCCATGCAAAGACAGAGGGCCTACTTCTAACTGGGACTAGGAAGAGATCAGCAGCAACCACGACAGCTTGGAAGTGAAAGCCTACTCCTTTATTTTCTAAACACCAGGCAAACTGAGAGCTACTTTTTTTTTTTTTTTTTTAGACAGAGTTTCGCTCCTGTTGCCCGGGCTGGAGTACGGTGGTGCAATCTCGGCTCACTGCAACCTCTGCCTCCCGGGTTCAAGTAATTCTCCTGCCTCAGCCTCCTGAGTAGCTGGGATTACAGGCACATGCTACCATGCCCAGATAATTTTTGTATTTTTTAGTGGAGATGGGGTTTCACTGTGTTAGCTAGGATGGTCTCGATCTCCTGACCTTGTGATCCGCTTGCCTTGGCTTCCCTAAGTGCTGGGATTACAGGTGTGAGCCACCGCACCTGGCCAAGAGCTACTTTATTTATCAGTCACTATAGGCATAGTGCCTGTGTTTTCAAGCTTTCTAAGAGCCTCTGAAAATATTTGAGACCCAGAAAAAAATGATTGGCCCCAAGATATGAAAATAAAGTAGCAAAATTAATCAAAATTAATCAATGTTTAAGCATCTGTAAAATGCAGTCTGGCATCAACTATAACTCAACTGTTAAATAATGATGTTTAAACCTCAAGAACCAAATGAGTAACTTATTTATAACAAAATTCAAAATCTATACAAGTTATAAAAATTCTTTCAAAAATTTTACAGCAGAAAGCACAGATAATGTGCTTTGCTTTTAATATCTTTAATATGATATAGAATGAAACTCTCACAAGTAAAAGTGAAAGCCAGGCAGGGCGGCATACGTGTAGCCCCAGCCACTTGGGAGGCTGAAGCAGGAGGATTGCTTAAGCCCAGGAGTTCAGGGTTATAGCACCCGATGATTGCACCTATGAATAGCCACTGCTCTCTACCTTGGGCAACATAGTGAGACCCTATTTTTTTTTTTTTAAGACAGAATCTCGCTCTGCCACCCAGGCTGGAGTGCAGTGGCTTGATTTCAGCTCACTGCAACCTCTGCCTCCTGGGTTCAAGCTATTCTCCTGCCTCAGCCTCCCGAGTAGCTGGTACTACAGGTGTGCAACACCATGCCAAGCTAATTTTTGTATTTTAGGTAGGTAGAGACAGGGTTTTACCATGTTGGCCAGTCTGGCCTCGAACTCCTGACCTCAAGTGATCCGCCTGCCTTGGCCTCCCAAAGTGCTGGGATTATAGGTGTGAGCCACCATGCCTGGCCAACCCTATTTTTTAATTAAAAAAAATTTTTTTTAGAGATGGAGCCTGGGTATGTTGCCCAGTCTGGTCTTGAACTCCTGACCTCAAGCAGTTCTCCTACCAGGGCCTTCCAACACGCCTGTGTTGCAATTACAGGCGTCAGCCACTGCACCTGGCAGGACCCCGTTTCTTAAAAAAATAATAAAGTAAAAGTGCTTAAGGTCAACAAAGGTTTTTAAGTGACCTTGTCCAAGCCCCTGGATTCCGATGCCACCCAATGAGGGGAAGGAGCTTCAGTCATTGCTTAAATAACATTTTAGGCATTTAAAGGAAATTAAGCATGTGCTATTTCTTGTACAATTGAGTTTATGGATTGAGGTGCAGTCAACAAATATTTACTGGGTGACTAATGTGTGTTATGCACTGTGTTCAGCTCTGCAAAAAACAGGACAGGTGTGGAAGGCTCCTCTGCCTTCATGGAGCTCATCTTCTAGTGGGGGAGACAGACATTAAACAAACAGATACTACAGATTAAGTATTAGAAAGGAAACAGGGTCATGAAATAGCAAGTGAAGGGCAAAAGCCAGGGAAGAAGGGAAGAAGTGACTTTAGGTAAATTTAATTTCAAAGCCCAATCCCTATATACCTTAAGATTATGAAGTAGGGTTTATCTCCCCTGTCCCCATAACTGTATAACACACTAACCAATTATTATTATTATTTTTGGAGACAGAGTCTCACTCTGTCACCCATGCTGGAGTGCAGTGGCATGATCATGGCTCACTGCAGCCTCGACCTCTAGGGCTTAAGAGATCCTCCTACCTTAGCCTCCTGAGTAGTTGAGACTACCAGTGCGTGCCACCACATCCAGCTAATTTTTCTATTTGTTGAAGAGACAGCGTCCCAGCAAGTTGCCCAGGTTGTTTTGGAACTCCTGGCCTCAAGCAACCCTTCCACTTGGCCTCCCGTAGTCCTGGGATTACAGGCACGAACCATCCCACACAGCCTGTAATTACCTTTTTTATAATTTTCCTGCTCTTGATAATTTTGGGGAATAAATGGATTAAATTTTTGCCCTCTCTTGGCTGTTTCTAAACATTATTCTCATGAAGGTATGGGTCACATCACCCCTATGGAGAAACTTTGCTCAGTGAGCCTTTTTCTAGTAAGCCCTGGTTCTGTACTAGCCAGCTCTGGGACACACCAAAGGGCCCTCACCTTACTGGGGAGCCCCTCACCTTACTGGGGAGCCCCTCTATTTGCAAGATGTCAAAAGAAAGGGGAAGTAAAGGTGGGACAATTAGAAAAAGAAATCAGAATTCATTCACAGGTTGGAATATTTTTACCAAGCCAGATAAAATGAAGCCACATGTGACAGCTCTTATTCTGTTTTTTATTTACTTATTTTTTGAGACAGAGTTTTGCTCTTGTTGCCCAGGCTAGAGTGTAGTAGTGCGATATTGGCTCACTGCAACCTCTGCCTTCTGGTTTCAAGTAATTATCCTGCCTCAGCCTCCCAAGTAGCTGGGATTATAGGCGCCTGGCCATCACGCCCGGCTAATTTTTTTTTTTTTTTTTTTTTTGTATTTTTAGTAGAGACAGGATCTCACCATGTTGGTCCGGCTGGTCTCAAACTGCTGACCTCGTGACCCACCAGCCTCAGCCTCCCAAAGTGCTGGGATTACAGGCGTGAGCCACAGCGCCCGGCCAACAGTTCTTATTCTATAAACAAACTGAAGTAAACAACCTTACCCATTGGCTTGCTTTGGATTTCAAATTTCTGTTGAAAGTGACTTTGGTCTGGGCATGGTGGCTCATGCCTGTAACCCCAGCACTTTGGGAAGCTGAGGTGGCAGATTGCTTGAGCCTAGGAATTCAAGACCAGCCTGATCCACATGGCAAGACCTCATCTCTACAAAAACAATTTTTTAAATTAGCTGGTTGTGGTGGCACGCACCTGTCCCAGCTATTCAGGAGGCTGAGGTGGGAAGATCGCTTGAGCCTGGGGGGATGAGGTTGCAGTGAACTATGATTATGCCAATGCACTCCAGCCTAGGTGGCAGAGCGATACCCTGTCTCAAAAAAATAATAAAGGAAAAGAAAGAAAAAAGAGACTCTGGCGAGGGTAATTGCATAACTGCGCCTCTCCCCTTGTCCTGTTTTACGGTCTCATTTGTAACCAGATCTGATATTTCCCTCCCATATTCATCATGGTTAAATAATCCCAACACATGGGCTAAATCTTGTGCTCAAGAAAAGATCTGTGATGTCATCTGTAGCTTTGCATGGCCTCATTTAGGTACTTCCTCACTGAGCCGTGAAGCCAGGAGAGGCCTCATGAAAGCATTTAGCCTGAGCCCCAGCAGCAGAGCATTTACGCCACCAGCCGTGGGAAGTAGCTAAGCAAGAAGAAATAAGAAAAACAAGTTAGTTTGGAAGAGCCCCACCCAAAACAAGTTTCTGCCCACCTGAAAGCCAATTTGCTAAGCTAGCATCCTGATTGCCACATAAGCTGTATTTTTTAAAAATGTGACACAGAACAATTATGATTTCTTCTTAACCAGGAGGGATATAATTCCCTGGCCTCCAAGTGTGGTGTTCATAGTCACTTAGGATGGCAGGGCATGAGGCCCACCCTTCCATGCTTTTGTGGTCTTGCGGGAGGTAAATAGCCACAGAGCTTTTTCACTGCTTCTATCTCGTGGGTACTCAGGATATTTGTGGGTTTGGTTTTTAAAACAAGGAGCCCCTGAGCAATTGTTAGTGCTCTGCAGGACGAATTACTGGTCATTCCAGGAATCACAGTGACGGGCATTCAACCTCCAGTAACTCTTCTTCCCCACCAGCCACTCTGTTCATATCCCATAACCTTCCCCTCAAGGGGAAGGAAATAAGACACGCTAAGGTTATATCACCACAACACTTCTGGCAGGGGTTCAGTTGGCTTCCTGGGGACTGGCAAGACTGGCAATGAGTGGGTACAGGGAGGCAAATGACAAAGTGAATAATGTTCTAACAAGATATGGGAGTCTCAGCGTGTTGGGCCGCTTCTGGTGTGCTAGCGTGAGAGCAGACAACGTGTGAATGAGCATTTTCGGCATCTGCTACCCCAGGCATTTTGCCTTTCTCTTTTTGTATGAGCAAGAAATATGAGGAGGGAAAACCCCACAGATGGTCATTTGTTCTGTCATTGTAGAGGTGATAACCCTGGGTAGATGAAGCATGAATCCAAGAGAAAGGGCTTTTTTCCCCCTTATTTTTTCCTACTCTCTCTGCTGATTAGCCTACAGGTTAGAATTTGAGTTAGGAGTGGTTGTAGAGATCCATTTTCTTATCTAGTCATAATTTCTCTTCTCTGTGTGTTTTTTACTTCTCTTCTGTTAGTTATGAAGCTATGAACTCAAAAGTCCAGTTGCTACACACCTCGTTGCCCAGAAGAATTCATGGAAATACTCCTCCCTAAAAGCCAAGCAGAATTGTTTCCTATATTTTGTTCTAAGAAAGGATCTTTGCTCAAAAAACAGTGTCCTGTATGGAATGGGCATGATTTCCCTAAAAGGATGGATCAGGATTCTTAGTGGAAAAATCCTTGGATGGGGATGATTCTCCAAAGAAAATCCTAGCCACTAATCATAATTGTTATTATCATTTATTGTCACCAAAAATATTTACGAGCATCTGGCGTGAGTTTTGCACTGTGCTGAGTATTACTTAAAAAGAGAGTTACCTTTAACAATCAGGTGAAAGTCCAAGCTCTCCGTTTGCAGAGATGACTTTGCAGTACAACTGTAGGTTCCGTTGTCAGATTTCTCGACTTTGGTGATTGACAGCTGAAAAGACTCACTTGTCTGTTGGATTTGGTGATGGCTTTTCTCTAAATCCAGGAGACTACTGTTTTTGTACCACATCATTTGAGCCTGGGGGTTGGCTTTCACACTGCAAACCAACTTCACGTTACTGCCTTCCTCAACTGTTTGGAAGTTGTTTCCACTTAGGAGAGGAGGAACTGCAAGACTCAAAGCATTTAGATTTAATTAGCTGATAAGCAATAGTTCACTGTCAGAGTTCAAAGTCTTCCTTCAGTCTAACTCATGTGGTCATTTATTCATTTGACAAAAATTTATTAAATACGTACTGTGTGCCAAGCACTGGGGTAACAAGGGCAAATAACACTTCCAGTTCCAAACCTCATGGGACTTTTAATGTGACGAACAAGACAAACCATGAAACAATATATGATTATAAGCATGATATATAGTAATGAATCTATGATAAGCAGACAATGTGTAACACTACCCAAGAGTATAACCCTTGAGTCTTTGTTCTCTGAGACTTAATAAACCAACCTGTGCTAGTGTTGCACAAAACAGTACAAAATTAAGAAGGCATACACTGCAATTAGACCTAATTCCATCTACACCATTTACTGTGACTTTGAGACAGTTAACTAACTGCTAAGGCCTCTGTTTCTCATGTAAAAAAATGGGATAATCATACATCTCCTGAGATGCTGTAAAGATTAAATAAAATAATCCCTGTAAAGAATTTGCCACAGTGCTAGCTACTATTATTATTACAGTGGTGGTGGTTTTGAGGGTTACTCTCACCGTCTGTTTTTGCATTTTATCTAACCATTGCCTTGGTAACATATTTACCAATGCATCTCTATGCATCTCTGCGTTTTCTCAGTGGTGCTCTAGAAATAATGTCCTCCTCCCAGGTGTTCTAAGCATGAGAACTCTGGCATCTGTGGAAGGCAAGTGAGTCCCTCTCATCCCTCTGTGTGAGCAATTCCTTCTTCCCTCTACAATAAGGGGAGTTGTAGACCCATAGACAGTCAAACATGTATATCACCTTGCATATTCTGGCAGAAGTGCAGAATAGTAATGAAATGGTTGGAGAGTGGGAACTAGGAAAAAGATAGAGATGGAGAAGGAGGAAAAAGGAGCTTGTATAATCTGCACACTGAATAATTAGACCCTGAGTAGGCTGTGCTATTAATAACTCTCTCAGAAGAATGATATTTTGTTGCTCTTTGGAATGAGCTTGAATTCTGTATCAAATCCAACAAGGATGTTATATGGTATTCAGATATGCAGGAAGCTGCTGGAATAGAGAACATAATTGCCGAATAGAACAATTCCATTTGTGGACAGATTCTGTTAGTGATTTCTTTTTATTTAACTATTTGAAATTAATTTAAGCACATCAGTGTATGTGAATATCTCCTCTGTAAAAATTAGTACTTTTCAGATAAAGCTAAGATCCAAGCTGGTCACTTCCTGACCCCCAGAGATACCCGCTGCTATGAGTTTGGTGTAAATCCTTCCCTATCTTTCTTTTTTCTTAAATAGTTTTCTATACATATAGTGTACCCATAGGAGATATACCATATTATTTTAGGGGCATGGAAAGGATTTACATAAAATACTTCAATTCTCTCAATAACTTGCATGTTTTTGAGATATGTTCATATTGAACCACAGAGATCTAGCTTATTGCTTTTAGAATGCATTACTTTAATCATTTGTGTTTTGATGAGCATTAGGTTGTTTTCATTTTAAAATGTTAAACAATGATACAGTAAACATCCTTGTACATATCTCTTTACGCCTATGTGCATGTATTTCTCCAAGGTTAACATCTAGAAGGAGAAATGCTGTGTCATAGGATACACACACTTTAAACTTTGATAGGTATTATGAAAGAGGTGTTCTCAATTTAAACTTTCAGCAACGATGTATGAGAGAAACTGTTTATCCATATTCTCCTCCAAACAGTGTATTAACAAGCTTCCATTTGGTTCTTGATCTGCTATTTATAACAATAATGGTCCTGCCTTTGAAGGGTACATAATATCCTTGTCACGTTTTATGAGCTCATTTTGATTTATTGGTTGATGACTTTGTGTCAGTACTGTCATTATGGATTACTGAGCAATTAACTATACACACACACTTAGCAACAATGATATTTAGGAGATTCTTATAAAGAGAATTTAAAAAGTGGATTGAGGCTGGAAAACTGAAAACAATTTCTTTAAGTCATCAAATCACAAATCACATTGTTGGCATTTCTGCCGTGTCTCCCTTAAGAGGGTTCCATCAGCCCAGGCAACATAGCAAAACCCCGTCTCTACAAAAAATACAAAAATCAGCTCGGCGTGGTGGTGTGTGCCTGTAGTCCCAGCTACTTGGGAGGCTGAGGCAGGAGGATCACTTGAGCCTGGGAGGCAGAGGTTACAGTGAGTTGAGATTGTGCTACTGCACTCTAGTGTAGGTGACAGAGTGAGACGTTGTCTCCAAAAAAAAAAAAAAAAAAGAAAGAGGTTTCATGGAATAAGCACTTAAGCACTAGGTTAGAAGCTTGGGAATTAGTGTTTTGTTCTCAGCTGCAGCTATGATTTGAGCCCCTAGTCCGGGCCTTAGTTTCCTTAGATGTCTTTTTTTGGCAGGGTCTCACTCTGTTGCTTAGGTTGAAATGCAGTGGGGCAATCATAGCTCGCTGAAGCCTCAACCTTCTGGGCTCAGGCGATCCTCTAGCCTCAGCCTCCCGAGTAGCTAGGGCTACAGGTGTGTGCCAGCATGCCCAGTTAATTAAAAACATACTTTTTTTTTTTTTTTGGTAGAAATAGGGTCTCACTATGTTATGTTTGTAGAGATAGGGTCTTTCTACCAAATCGTACTGCATCATCATACCTCACCCATCGCCATACCATCCACACCATTCTCATGCAGAACCAGCTTTTCACCCAATGACCCATGTGATCACCTACATAATATCACTTGACAGTCCCCTAAGCCTATACAGTTCCACCAACGGGTTACCAATACCTGGAACCCAGTCATTGAAGAGCTTCACCTTTTTTGACTTTAAGGTAATGCTTAAAGATTCCCTAATGAAAATCTTTTTTTTTTTTTGAGATGGGGTCTCACTGTGTTGCCCAGGCTGAAGTGCAGTGGTGGCATCTCAGCTCATTGCAACCTCCGCTTCTTTAGTTCAAGCAATTCTCCTGCCTCAGCCTCCTGAGTAGCTGAGATTACAGGTGCCCACCACCGCACCTGGCCAATTTTTGTATTTTTAGTAGAGGCCAGGTTTCGCCATGTTGATCAGGCTGGTCTCGAACTCCTGATCTTAAGTGATCCATTTGCCTCTGCCTCCCAAAATGTTGGGATTACAGGCATGAGCCACTGTGCCAGGCCATGAAAATCTGTCTAAGCAGAACACAAAAGCTAGGCACTACAAAGGAAAAGACTTGTAGCTTTAAATATATAAACATTTAAAATTTCAATATGGCAAAAAAGAACTACAAAAATTTTCAAAAACAAGTAGGAGAAATACTTACAATTCAAAATGACAAAGGACTAATTTCCTTAATCCACAAAACCCTCATACAGATTAATGAGCAAAAGGCATAAAACCCAACAGAAAAAAATGAGTTAAGGATACAAGCAGGCATTTCACGGAAACAAACAAAAAAGGCCAATATGTTTACATAAAGGTGAACACCCTCATTCTTAATTTAAAAATTGAAAATAGGCTGGGCGCAGTGGCTCACACCTGTAATCCCAGCAGTTTGAGAGGCTGAGGTAGGCAGATCACTTCAGGTTAGGAGCTTGAGACCAGCCTGGCCAACATGGTGAACCCCCGCCGTCTCTACTAAAAATATAAAAATTAAAAATTAGCCGAGTGTGGTGGTGGGTGCCTGTAGTCCCAGCTACTCAGGACGCTGAGGCAGGAGAATCGCTTGAACCCGGGAAGGCAGAGGTTGCAGTGAGCCAAGATTGCGCCACCGCACTGCACTCCAGCCTGGGCAACAGAGCGAGACTGTGTCTAAAAAAAAAAAAAGAAAGAAAGAAAGAAAAAAGGAAAAGAGAATTTCAAAGGAGGCTGGCAAATTCTCAGAGTTTGACGATACTCAGTGCTCATGAGGGTGAGGGGAAATAGGTACTCTCATGCTTTGTGGTGGGAGCGTAAATTGGGCAATTTGGCAATACCAAGACCTAGATTTCAACTACCACTTCATATGTTACAGACATTACAGACCCACTAGCCGTTTCTGTTCCCCTCACTCACAAATAACATTCAGTGCCACCGAAATGGACACGGAGGGATCCCTCCCCAGCCTGCAGGTAAAGCTGATTCCGTTGTCATTTTCACTGATGGAAGAGACACAGACAGAGCTGGAATTGATTTTGTTTCCAGATTTCAAATCCACTCTCCCCTCCTCTCGGTACCAGAGCAGTTCTTCCTCTCTGGTGTGGTTTTGAACAGCACATATCAGAGACACTTGGGAGCCAGGTGTAGTATCCAGGATATAGTTCTCAGTTTTACCATTCACAGTTAAAACAGAACCTGGGAGTGTAGAGAGAAACTATTTAGATATACAGAGTAAACAACCTAAATGCTCATGAACAGGGGATTGGTTAAATAAGTTATGTTACATCAGTAGAACAAAATAAGCTCTGAACAATTAAAAATAGTCGTATTGATCTATATGATTTATATTGAAAAATATTCATAATGTATTGTTAACTGAAAAACAAAAAGATTAAAATGTGGTCATCAAATTTTGGTGCACGTTGGAATCACCAGGGGATCTTTTAAAAAGTACTGATGTAGCCGGGTGCGGGCCTATAATCCCAGCACTTTGGGAGGTAGAGGCGGGAGGACCGTTTGAGCTCAGGAGTTCAAGACCAGCCTGGGAAATATAGTCAGACCCCTTCTCCACAAAAAATAATAATAATTTAAAAAAACATTAGCCAGGCGCGGTGGTGTGCATTCGTACTTCTAGCTACTTGGGAGGATAAGGTGGGAGAATCGCTTAAGCCCAGGAGGTGGAGGTTGCAGTGAGCCAAGATCGCACCACTGCACTCCAGTCTGGGTGACCGAGCAAGACCCTGCCTCCAAAAAAAAGTACTGATGCCTGGTTCTCATCCCCAGACTTCTGATTAGTTGACGTGAGTGCAATCTAGGCATTGTGTTGTTTAAAGCACCTCACCCCCAGCCCCCAGGTGATTGTAATATGCAGTGAAGTTTGAGAAGCACCAGGTTAGAAACCAATACATACAGAATGATCATATGCGTGTGTGTGTATGTGTGTATGGTATACATATACACATACACACATTTTCATGGAAAAAAGACTTAGGAAAAAATCCCATATATATTGAATACACACACACACACACACATGCATATATGTATATACATATACACATACCATATTTAATTTGTTTACTTGAAGGGATTGAAAGTAGGAAAACAAGGGAATGAAATGGAAAAATATTTAAGGTATAAACATTAGGCAAAAAATGCAGAATATAAGTTAAAGCTCTAATAATTACTACAAATGTATCAAAATTGCACATGCATATGAGTAAGAACTGATTTGAAAACACTTTTATGATTAAATGATAGGATTATGGACAAATTGGGTCTTGCATCTATAGTGTTTTAATATTGTTTTGGCAGTGAAGAAAACTAAAAAGATGTTTAAGTAGCTGGGGTTTGTGTGGTAGACAAGTCTTCGTGGGTTGGGTGATCAGGATACATAGTAGGTTTTTTTTTTTTCTTTCAGCTCTGACTTTTAGAAATCTATTCATTGCGTAGTAATACACTTGAATTTTGATTTTTATTTTCCTAGTTTAGAAGCAAGTAACAAAAGCTAAAAAAGAATTTTACCTATCATAAACCTGTAGCCTGGATAACATTTGTTGATATGTTCTGTAAACACATTAACCTTCCTTTTAAAAAACTTAAGCTGGCCGGGCACGGTGGCTCATGCCTGTAATCTCAGCACTGTGGGAGGCCAAGACAGGCGGATCACCTGAGGTCAAAAGTTTGAGACCATCCTGGCCAACATAGTGAAACCCTGTCTCTACTAAAAATAACAAAAAAATTAGCCAGGCCTGGTGGCAGGCTCCTGTAATCCCAGCTACTCAGGAGGCTGAGGCAGGAGAATCACTTGCACCAAGGAGGTGAAGGTTGCAGTAAGCTGAAATCAGGCCACTGCACTCCAGTCTGGGTGACAAGAGTGAGACTCTTTCTCAAAAAACAAAAAACTTAAGCTACTTGTAAAGATAATCGTATTGTCTAGTATTTTTTTTTAAATATGGAATATTGAGTGGTTGTCATCTCTGGATGAAAGTATTTAGGGAGATTTGTACTTTTTTTTTTTAATAGATTGCCTAATTTATTTTACTATGACTATGCATTACTTTTAAAATCAGAAAAGAGTGGTAGGGGAGCAAATGCTGGAAAGATTTTCATGTGAAATGGCATGTTCAGATAAACAGAAGATTATTTGGGGTAACATTAGTAATAAAATGCATTAAAATGTAGGAGGATTCTGGTGGTGGCTCTGGAGAGAATAGAATACTTCACCTTGTCTTGTAATAATAAAACCCTAAAAACAATATTTTTCCTTTTTTTTTTTGAGACGGAGTCTCACCCTGTTGCCCAGGCTGGAGTGTAGTGGCGCCATCTCAGCTCACTGCAAACTCTGCCTCATGAAATGGATTCACACCATTCTCCTGCCTCAGGCTCCCAAGTAGCTGGGACTACAGGCACCTGCCACCACGCCCAGCTAATTTTTTGTATTTTTAGTAGAGATGGGGTTTCACTGTGTTAGCCAGGATGGTCTCAATCTCCTAACCTCATGATCTGCCCGCCTTAGCCTCCCAAAGTGCTGGGATTACAGGCATGAGCCACCCGCCCGGCCTCCATTTGATTTTTTATTGTTAGCTAACTCCTATACTGTGAGCCATGCTAACTGTGTAGTCATTTCAATTTGGAATTTAAGGATATATCCAATGCCCATTGATCATTTTTCTTAATTGGAAATTTTCCTTTATCTAAAAAGAGGTCAAAAAGAACTTTAACTTACTTGTCATCTCACGTGGCAGAAATAAAATTACTAAGAGAAGAAATCTTCCCATTTGCATTACGACACTGCTGTTCCATGCCATCTTTAATGAGTTAAAGTAGGATCTACTAAGGGAAAAATAGTGCAGTTGGTTTTGTACTTTGGTTTGTGAACCTTCCTTCTGTCTATTATGCATTTAAAGTGAAGTCCCAGATGAATCATCCCAGCTGTAACGGTACTACTTCTAGCTTTTAATTAAACAACGCTGCCTGACTAAGTTCAAAGTACATTTAGTAGTAAGATTTTTTTTTTAAAGCAACATAAAGAAAACCACAAGGAAATAGGCTGTGACAGATACAGCAGCATTAGGGTGCCCTGGGGAAGATAAAACCAAGAGACTTCCCTAGAGAAACTGATAGAATTTCATTTTAACAGAATGAAACTTGTGTCATTCTCAGACAGTCCCTACTGAATAAAGTAATTCTTGTTCTGAAAGTTTCTCTTGGGTCGTTTTTGTAAAGATGTTCTCTGGTAATAGAGAGTTTTTGAGATTACTCCAAATCCCATGGATTGAAATGGTGTGTACTTAGGAAAGACCCAACTGAAACATGGCCTCTAGTTTAAACCATGTTAATCTTGCCTGTCTCCCACTCTTCTCTCTCTCTTCCCCTTGACCCATATGTACTAAAAATAATAAATAACAAAGCTGTCCTTTCTCCCTTCTTGCTTTTGCTTCACCTCTCCTTCTCCCTAAGATACTCTCCACTTCCATCTGAGGAAAAAAACATATATTCATTACTTCCTTTCAAGAGTACTACTATAAATATAGTGGAACCACATATGAAAAACTTTCTGTGCAACAGGGACTGTGCTAAACACTTTACATACATCATTTCTGTCACAATTAAGCCTCCCAACAACGCTCTTGAGGTTATTTCTATAGATTTAAAGAGATTATGTAATTTGCCCGGATCTCACAGACAGTAAATGTCAAGGTCAGGATTTGAACCCAGGACTCCCAAGACCATGCTCTTAACCACCCTACTACTACCCTACTCTTAACCACCTTACTACCCAATCTACTGCCTAGAATAATATTCTTTTCCTTTAAGAAGCTGCTGTTAGACTGGGTGCAGTGGCTTATGCCTGTAATCCCAGAACTTTGGGAGCTGAGGCGGGTGGATTACCTGAGGTCAGGAGTTTGAGACTAGCCTGACCAACATAGTGAAACCCCATCTCTACTAAAAATACAAAAAAAAATAAAAATAAAAAAAAAATTAGCCAGGCATGGTGGCGGGCACCTGTAATCCCAGCTACTTGGGAGGCTGAGGCAGGAGAATCACTTGAACTTAGGAGGCGGAGGTTGCAGTGAGCCGAGACTGTGCCACTACACTCCAGCCTGGGCGACAGAGCGAGACTCGGTCTCAATACATACATACATACATACATAAAAAGAAGCTGCTGTTATTCTTTTCCAGTTCCTGACCACTTGGAGTTCTCTCCCTTTAACACCAGTATTAAACTACAAGAGCTGAAATATACCTATACCTACTCTGCTCCTCCCCGTCCCAGGCGTGTCCCAACAGGAGTGAGTTTCATTCATGCCAGGCTTACCCTTTCTGGCAGACAAGCCTGCATCAATCTTTTCGTAAGATGCAATTACTACTAATATTGATTCTTTTGTAATTTTAAATATTTGCCAAAAAGATTTCTATCACAGTGTTGTAACAGTTATGATTGCAGAATGCAGTCAATAGTAGAATTTTCTCAAGCACTCTCCACTACAAGTACTCAATAAAAACTGAGAGTGCAGGCTTCTTGCCAGACCTCACCCCGTCCTATTAAGGGGGCAAATCTATGTCTTCTCTTTCCTTCCACTCCACCGACACGGCAACTTTTCAAAATGTATTTCCCTCACTTGGCTTGATTTTAATCTGTATGACTCTCTACTTTCTATATAAGACAGTCTTACCACTTACCTCTTGAACTCTGAGAAGCTGACTTCCTTGGCCAACTGTTCCTCTGCCTGAAAACCCTAAATGCTTTCCCTGTTACAATCCTTTATAATACTTGAATTTGAACAGTTTATGACAGTAGGATCAAATAAATAAGATAACTTGGGTTCAAAGTCTGTTTCTCTTTATGGAGTCTTAGAGAAGATAGTAATTGGGAAAGACATCTTCTTAAGATCTGAGTTTCTATGTGTACCTAGGTTACTAGGTGGGGCCGGATGTTAATAACAGGGATGTGTTGTTTCAAGAAAGCCTGAACTTGTGCAAAACTCTGTAGCGCATCTCACTGAATATTGTCATATTTAAGTAACATAGCTGCGTTTTGATCGTCTACTAGCCTGGGGATTGTGATGGTACAAGTCCAAGAAGGAGTTTGATTTTCACAGATGTCAAAACATTGGAAGATTCTACATAACTTAAATAATGCTGGAAAAGTCTTAGTTACTGCTGGTAACCCAAGCCCAGTCCATAAGCTGTACCGAGCCAGGCATAGCAGGGAGCCGTTTTTTTTTTTTGTTCGTTCGTTTTTTGAGACAGGGTTTCACTCTGTCACCCAGGCTAGAGTGCAATGGCAAGATCGTGGCTGACTGCAACCTCTGCCTCCCAGCCTTCCAAGGAGCTAGGACTACTGGTGTGAGTCACCATGCCCAGCTAAACTTTGTTTATATATATATTTTTGGTAGAGATGAAATTTCGCCATGTTTCCTAGGCTGGTCTCGAACTCCTGGCCTTAAGCAATCTGCCCACCTTTGCCTAGGGAACAGTTTTATCCTCTTGAGACTCTCACCCGATTGGGGGATCCTTGCATTACACTATGTTTATGGTATTATTAACAATGCAAATTTTATCTGCCAAATACTATTGTTCCCATTTACACAAAAATATAACAGAAGAATATTTATAGTTATCCACACATTTGAACACACTGTTGAAGCACACCAGCAATCTGCCTCTTACTAGCTATGTGACTTTGAAAAGTTATTTAACCTCCATGAGCCTCAGGGTCTTCATCAATACAATGGAAATAGTAATAGTGCCCTCCCTATGGAGTCACTGTGAGGATTAAATGAAATGAAGCATGTGAAGCTGCCACACAGTAAGCTCTTAGTAAACAGTAGCTCTTATTACTATTATTATTAATACAGGCTGAGCAGGGCATCCTAAATCAACACAACCTCACTATAGCATTGTTCAAGCAAAAATCAGAGCTAAGAGCCGCTCCTGTTGGCTGGGTTGCAAGCACCACCTAAGCAGGTTTTGAGTTTGCCTCTCTAGGGATCCAAGATTGTCATTTTAAAATGAATTTAGCAATGGAGCGATGTCTTGGTTCTTGGTCCCTCCAAAACAGACCCTGAGACAGAGCTTTTGAGTGCAAGTAGTTTATTTAAAGGTGATCTTGGCCAGGCACAGTGGCTCACTCCTTAATCCCAGCACTTTGGGAGGCCGAGGCGGGTGCTTCATTTGATGCCGGCAGTTCGAGACCAGCCTGGCCCACGTGATGAAACCCCCTCTCTACTAAAAATAGAAAAATTAGCTGGGCATGGTGGCGGGCGCCCGTAATCCCAGCTACTCGGGAGGTTGAGGCGGAAGAATCCCTTGAGCCTGGGAGGCGGAAGTTGTGGTGAGCTGCGACCTGGCCACTGGACTCCAATCTGGGTGAGAGAGTGAGACTCTTTCTCAAAAAAAAAAAAAAAAAAGTGATCTCAGGAAGCATAGTAAGGAAGTAAGATAGGGAAGGGAGGAAACTAGTAAAGCATGTGTTAAAGGTTACTATTGTGAGCAATGTCCTCCTGGAGCCTTGGACAAGGTTGTATTCGGTGGAGCACACCTCCGAATCAACTTCTGATAGGGAAGGAAGTGTTAGTATTTATCACCAGCTTCTCTCCATCTCCGGCGACTGAGGGGCACTCTCAAGGTGTTGACTCTCTGGCACTTTCAGCCTGCCCTGTGAGGGCAGAGTGTACTCTCTCAAGCTGGCCAAGATGTCCAGGCAAAGATGCTCAGGAAGTCACGGGCTATACGGGAACTCTTTGCAAGTAACTTCTAGGTAGGCCAAGGGGATGTGGGTAGAGCACCACCAGCAACTTCTATAATTGGATATTAGGTGGTATTAGGAAATAATGATTAATTATTATTAGTTGTGATAATGGTATTGCCGTTATGTAGAGAATGTTCTAATTCTCAGGGGATGCCTGCTGAAATATTTATGGGTCAAGTGTCATGATAATTGCAACTACCTTTCAAATGATTCAGCAAGAAAAGTAAACACATAAACACACAAAGCGAATATAGCAAATGTTAACATTTATTCAATCTAAATAGGGGTCTATAGATCTTCATTGCATTATTGTTTCAACTTTTCTGTATGACATTTTTGTCACCAGAATATTGGGGAAATATATTCAGCAGATATTTATTGAGTATCTGCCATGTGCTAAGTATTCTAAGCACTGGGGATGTGACTTGCGGCCAAGCCAATATGGTGGCTGTGTCATGAATTAGGGAAAAGATGGCTTCTCTAGTCACTCTACTGCCATCTGTGGAAAATTGTTATAATAACTCTACAAAGCTATGATGTCTGTAAGACGAATAGTGCTTCCAGGTCTCCATAACATTAAATGGTGATACATAGATGAAAAACAAGCTCTGGGCTTTTGAAGGTCTTACATTGTAGAGTAGAACGTTAATGATGATCAGTAGCCATGCAGAGTGGCCTCAGGTGCTGAGCAGGGATTTCAGATAAGCAAAATGGTATAATGGCGCCCCTGCTGGAGAGTCAAAGAAATCATATGACTTGTGCAAGCTCATATAAATCCCTGGAACAGTCCTCTTTCCTAGACCTGGCAGAGGGAAGAAAGCATTTTTCTGTAAGTAGTTAAGCCCAGTAGTTAACCATTAAGCCTAAGTAGTTTGACTGTTTGCAGTATTTACAGAGTCCAATACTCCACAGCTTCCACAGTGACTTAGACCAAGAGGGAGAGAGGAAAAGCAGCCTCCAGTCTGAACATTCCTGGGAATAAAGACCAATCTGGCAGGGTGTGGTGGCTCACGCCTCTAATCTCAACACTTTGAAAGCCGAGGCGGGTGGATTGCTTGAGCCCAGGAGTTCGAGATCAGCCTGGGCAACATGGTGAAACTTCAACTCTACAAAAAATAAAAAATAAAAAAATTACAAAACTTAGCCAGGCATAGTGGCATGTAGTCCCAGCTACTTGGGAGGCTGAGGTGGGAAGATGGATTGAGCCCGGGAGTTTAAGACTGCAGTGAGAGTGATCGCACCACTGCACTACGGCCTGGGTGAAAGAGCGAGATCCTGTTTCAAAAAAATAAAAAAAAAAAGACAATCTGCTTCCCAACCCCAAGGCCCAGGTACTTCTAGAAGGGTAACAGACAAGGGAGTCCATGACTCTCTGATTAAGGCAAGTATTAGAATCACCTGGGGGAGGCTCCAGTACCTTTCCTTCCTCAGTCCTGATGAGACTTAGAAATTTCATCTTTAACAAGCCTTCCAAGGGACTCTGCACAGCGGTTTGTGAATCTCCTTTTGAGAACCATGGAGTCAAATTCAAGGTACAAGTTGGGTGCTCTGCCCTGGAAGGGGATGTGTGCACAGGGGCGCCTTATGGGAGGCTGGCTGGATGGGTTCACAGGCCTCACAGTACTTTCTGTTGTATGGGAATGAAGAACAGGAGAGAGAAACAACCAATCAGAATGTGGGAAAGGCCTGCAGGCTAGGGCAGCGGTCACTGAGCACTGCCATCCCACAGTCTTTGAGCTGTGACCAAACTTGGTATGACAGAGACAGCAACTCAGGAAATAGCTAGAGGGCCCGAGGGCCAGCAGGGTCATCTGGCCAGGTCAGTGGGAATGCCACTGATGGTTTTAAAGTGACAGAAAAACTAGAAATCTGACAGGCATAGCCTAGCAATGATTTCTCTCTTTTTTTTTTTTTTTTTTTGAGACAGAGTTTCGCCTGTTGCCCAGGCTGGAGTGCAGTGGCATGATCTCGGCTCACTGCAACCTTTACCTCCCAGGTTCAAACCATTCTCTGCCTCAGCCTCCCAAGTAGGTGTGATTACAGGTGCCCGCCACCATGCCTGGCTAATTTTTGTATTTTTAGTAGAGATGGGGTTTCACCATGTTGTCCAGGCTGGTCTTGAACTCCTGACCTTGTGATCCACCCCCCTCGGCCTCCCAAAGTGCTGGGATTACAGGTATAAGCCACTGCACCCAGCCAATAGAGTGGTTCTTTAGCAACACAGGGACCCAGTGTGTTGCCTTTTCCATCCAGAATCCAACACAGCATTCTCTAGACTGCTTAAAATTGGACGTAGCTTCTTTTTTTTTTTGAGATAGGATCTTGCTCTGTCACGCAGGCTAGAGTGCAGTTGTGCGATCTCAGCCCACTGCAACCTCTGCCTCCCGGGTTCAAGTGACTCTCCTTCCTCAGTCTCCCGAGCAACTGGGATTACAGGTATGCACCACCATGCCCAGCTAATTTTTGTATTTTTGGTAGAGACAGGGTTTCTCCAGCCCAGGCTGGTCTTGAACTCCTGACCTCAAGTGATCCTCCCTCCTCAGCCTCCCAAAGTACTAGGATCACAAATGTGAGCCACCGCACCTGGCCTGGTCATAGCTTAAGTGACAATCAGTGATTCTCTAACCTCTCATTCCCCATTATTAGGATTCTTCCATCACCAGAAATCTTAAACCTTAAAGCAATACCTGAAGGGCTATCTGAAAAACGTTGCCAGATTTAGCAAATAAAAATACAGGGCACTCAGTTAAATTTGAACTTCAAGTAAATAACTAACAAATATCTTTTTAGTATAAGTATGTCCTAGGTAACTACTATGTGCTAATTCATCACAAACCAATATTTTAAGACTTATATGTTAAAACATCATGTTTCTCTGGAATTCAAATTTAACAAAGCATCCTGTCTTTTATCTGGCAATTCTCCATCTGTCTTCTCCCATTTTTCGTACATGAAGAAATGAAGTTCAGGG